TAATTTTCTATAAGGGGATTTAAATTTTTTAAAACTATCAATTCACCCCTCTCTTGGTAGCCTTGAGACATTCACTTAGGCTAAACAACCTAATTACTAGACTCAACAATATTTGCTTTGTAGAATAAAAAGTGTTGTCATTCTCTATTCATGTTACTACATCTTAGTGTGTAGGAAAATTAAAAGCTCCTAACTCACTTAAATGGATGGTTACTATCATTTATGGTAAAAAAGAAACTCATGTGAGAAGATTTATGCGGTACACCATTCAAGAGTTTCTTTCTAAAGGAATTCCCTCATTAGTAAGGGGAGACTTTAATTGCATTATATTTAAAGAATATAAGAAACGGGGTGGGTGGGATGATTCATTATGTCTCAAGGCCCTCAAGAGAAGAAGGAATTAATGTCAAATAATAATATCCATGCTGTGCTATTTACTGGTCCTCGATTCAATTGGTGAAGTAATAAGGAAGGGCTGAATAGAATTTGGGAAAGGTTAGATAGTATAATTATTAACTTGGCATGACATCACCTTATTCCACTAAGTGTAGTAAAGCATCTTACTCATATTGTGCCTTTTTGTTGTCGATTGGTACTATAACTTAAAAATACTCATCCAATCTTTTAAAAGACATAGCAGTTTGAAAATGTCTGGACGTCATACCCAATAAATTGGGGCATTATTTTTAAATCATGGAAGAAAATAGATTATAACATAGATGCTAAATATTTTTTATGGAAGATGAGCAGATCTCTTTGATCATTATAATTATGGAGTAATAATAAATTGAAAAAATTATTATAGCTAAAATCTTCGCTGCAAGATCAGATGCAAGCTTTACAGGAAATCAAAAGTCAATCGGATGTGGTTAATCCACTACAGCTGCTAGAACTTGGAACTAAAGTTCTGGATTTGAATAAGACTCTTGCAAGGCTAACAATTTGTTGGAGAAAAATAGCTAAAATCATATTGATGGATGGTATAGAATCAGACTCTCACTTCTTCAACTCATTTGCTTATGCAAGAAGAATTAGAAACATGATAAATCAAATTAACAATCAAAATGGTGAGCTCTCTAAAGACCTTTATGGTATTGAATTAATTGTCACCAAATTAAGAAAAAAGGAAAGAAACAAGTGGCAAGTAGTGCTTACTAGAAGGATGGCCTCATTTTTTTTGAATCAGATTGAGGATGACAATAAGGATATGTTGGTATCTAATTTCTATATGGTGGAGATGCATGCAACAATCAATCAAATTGGCAACACTAAGTCTCCAAGATCATCTAGGATTTCTGTTTCTTCTTCAAATCCTATTAGGTGATAATAAAGGATGAAGTGTGGACAGTAATAAAAGGTTTCTTTGGAAAAGGTATGATGCCCTCTGATTGGAAGGATACCAGAATTGTTCTCATTCCAAAGGTCGACAATCTAGTGGATACAACTAAGTTTAGAACCATAATCTTGTGTCAAACCACCAACATAATAGCTACAAAAGTTTTTGTTAAAAGATTAATCAATGTTATTCAAAGGCTAATATTCAAAGAACATGCAACATTTGTTCATAAGAGTTTAGTTAAAGAATATTATTAGCTAGAAATACAACATAACGACATAAAAAGTACTTATATCTAAGTCAAAATGAGATTAGACCATGTAATTTAGCATACTTGAAATTATTTAGTGGCTTTCATTTATCAAATTTTCTATTACACATATTTATAGGGAAGGTAATTTTGTTGCTAATTTTTTAGCCAATTTAGGATACACTTTGTTAGATTTTATGGAATTTATAGGGTATTGTCTTCCAATCAATATTGTTGGATTGACTAGGCTTTGTTGCAACCTAATTCAAGCACTGTGATTCTGGTGATAATAAAGATTATTGTGTCTGATATTGTATTATCATATTTTTTTGATATTTTATATTATTTTTGTGTGCACTAATATTTTAGAAAATAAGACCATCATTCAATTGCAATTCTAATCAGGTCAACACTGGGTAAACTAAGGTTACAATCAGTTTTCATTTTATTCTACATTTTCTGTTTTCTTGAGTCATATCATGTAATTGGATGAATATCATTGTCGAGTAACCTTGCACACACATAGGGGAAGAGATAAAAATATTTTTGAGATAGTTATTTTTTTTTAGGTAATTTGTGTTGTATGATCATGGTTTTGTAACATACAAAGTAATTTATATTATATAATTTTAATTTGTACTATACGAAATGTTGTGCTCTATTAAAACCTTAGTCGTAAAAGCTTAAAAAAGATACTAATTCTGTTATGATCGTACAGTATGATTTGGTTTGTATTGTATGCCCTAATTAAAATTTTTCTTAATTAAACCCTTAATATTATGCAATCAAATCATGGACAATTATTATGATTGATCATACTGTATAACATAGTTTGTACTGTATGATTACTAGTGTACAAAATTGGTTATCCCAGAGATTGTACCAAAAAAATTCAATGATTTTTTTACTTTTCATACCGTATAATATCCACATTGTTGGATCATTACCCGTGTACGAAGTTGACCGTCCCAAGGATCGTCCCAAATGAATAAGAGAAATTTCTACAGTTTGTATCATATGATGTTTTTGTTGTACTACACAAAATGTTATAAACGTTGAGCAGTTTGTTTGAATGATCTTGCTGGTCGAGTCTGAATTACACTGTGTTGGATCTAGTAATTAGGTTGTTAAGCCTAAGTGAATGTCCCAAGGCTAACCAAGAGGGGGGGTGAATTGGCAATTTAAAAAATGTAACTTCAACTCTTGGAATTTTAGAAAACCTTTTGAATTATTGATGCAAGTTAAAATTAAAGTTTAAAATAAACTTTTCAACCAGAGTAACAACTTGCAATGAAATTAAATGCGGAATAAAAAATAAGAAAGAACACACCAGATTTATAGTGGTTCGGTCAAACCTTGACCTACATCCACTCCCCAGAGGCACCCTCTGAGTATTGCACTAATACCACAAAGTGACTCTCCTTTTGCTCCCACAGCAAGGCGGAGAAGCCTGTACAAAATCACTTTCACCTTCCCCGGTGCGGCGGAGTAGCCGGGTTCTTTAACACCAAAGAGATCTTCTTCTTGCCAAAACTTCCCTCAAGACGACCCTTGAATCCGATGGTAATGAGGTGCAAGTTCGCCGGAGCAACTGTGTGAATATCCCCTTCACACTCCCTTGAAATCCCCTTCAAGGATCTTCTCCCTCTCAAACTCCACCCTTTCCTCTCTCCCTTTCAAGTTCTCTCTTCAAGTTTTCTCCACAAGAACGAAGACACAATGACTGTCAAAGATACACTTTGTCGTCCTTTTACACTTCTCCAAGTGTCGGCAGAGAACCGGACCGATGTTGTTGAACTTCACTTGAGAGCCTTCGCCGGAGCAACCGTGTGAATATCCCCTCCACACTCCCTTGAAATCCCCTCCAAGGATCTTCTCCCTCTCAATGATCCCTCTCAAGAGAAAATAATTCTAAAGGCATTTGTAATAGTTTCTAGGACTCCTTATATAGAAAGGAGAAGAAAAACCATCCAAAAACGTGCTAAAAATATATTTTTCTGCGCACTGGATCGTCCCGTACGAAATTTTGTTCATCTGTACGAACCAATTTCATCCAGGACGAAATTGGTTCGTCCTGGGACAAAAATATTTTGTCTGGAAGAATAATTATATCAAAAGTCGGTTCCGAAAACTCCCAGAAACTGCCATAGTCGGTTCCCATCGTCCTAGACGAACTGAACTTCGTCTGGACGAAATTTTTACATAAAGAAACTTGTCCTGGGACGAAAATGATTTCGTCTGGACGATTAAGACTTAGAAAATATTTCCAGTTCAGTTCTTGTCCGTTCCATTGCTCTTACAAGGAGATAACTGATCAGATCGTCCCGTACGAACAATGTTCGTCCCGTACGATCAATACAAAAACTTTTTCAATATCTCCTTTAAGTTTGTGTAAATTTATTCACTCAATTACAATCACTCCCTCTCAAATTTAATTCAAATAAAAAGTACAAGCTTCAATTTCACAAAGTATCTCATGCTGAATTTGATTTGAAGTCTTCGTAGTCTGGAGTTTGATTTTCTTGAAATATTAGTACACACAAGTGCAAAAATAAATCTTCTAAAAAGTGTTAGGAGATAACTACACATAAAACAATAATATTTGGAATCATCAAAATAATACAAGTTGCAAGAATGTAAAACATGCAAATAGCAAGCAACTTTCCTAACACACTGATCATACTGTATGATATGTGTATCGTACTGTATGAATAGAAGATTGATCTCTTGAAATTTAGGAATTCTTCAAGCCCACAACTTAAGGATTTCTAATATTCCTATTATAAAATATTTGGCTCTTGAGACTTCAGGAGAGAGAGCCTTGACGGAGAGAAGAAAAGGAGCTTAATGAGAGAAGAGAGGGAGATTTTGTGAGGGAGAAGCTGTCAGGGGATTCATAAGGTTGCTCCAAGAAAGAATCATGCCTAGTATCTACAAGCATCTACCTAGATTATCTATGGCTCCAAAGAAGAAATTTTTCAGCAAAGATAATGATTCTCTGACCATCACCAAGAGGGTAAAAATAGAGTTATGGTTCTTTTTTTTTGACAAATGCCAAAGCATATTATTAAAAAGAAAACTACAAACAACTAAATTATCCTTTCATAAGGCTAAAAAGGAGGAATTTTATTACAATTGAGAGAATCCCAAAAAAAATTCTCCAGAAAGAGCCACCTTAGCACACATATCGATAGCTTTATTACCATCTCTTTTCACATACTGAAAAGTCACTCGGTTGAAATCTCCAACGAAGAGGAAATCCTTCAGACTCAAGTTCTCCACCTCAATTTCCACCTTATTCACGGTATTCTGAAAGAATTTGATAACATTCAAGTTATCACCCTCAATGATAATGCCATTCCAATCATACGTCCAATCTTGAATAAATTTGCCCAGAAAAGAAACATAAAGAATATCCAATTGAGAGCAGTCCCAATGTACCAAGCTAACCCCAAAAGCACTTAGGAACCTTCCTTTCCTATCACGAAAAATGCCGCCTATGCCTGCCACATTAGAAGAAGATAACGAAGCATCCAAGTTAACTTTGATCCATCCAGGAGGAGGGGGATACCAAGAATTGTGAGGCAGCTTCACATGCTGATTAGTATCACAACTCTCCCATATATGATCAAAATTAAAAGAGGCAGCTGCAAAGCTAACTGCATTAGCAGCTAGATGAGATACACAATCCTCCAAGCCACCGTGAATAGACTTGTTCTTGCTCTGCCAACATAAAAAAACAACCGAACAGTATAGATTTCCCAAGAATGGATGCTGCCATGAATATTGTTGTAGAAAAAAAAGTAACTCTCAAAAGAATTAAGCTCAAGAAAAAGAAAACCCCACTTATAAAGAATTAATCTCAAAAGAGTTGTGGTTCTTTTCACTAAGAGGGTAAAAAAAGAGTCATGCTTCTCTACCGCACCGGAGAGGTGAAATATCATTTCTACAGGCTTCTCTGTCTTTCTATGGGAGAAAAAAGTGAGTCACTATTGTTTAGTGCAATACTTGGAAAGGGTTCTTAAATGAGTGGACGTAGGTCATGTCGATCGAACCACTATAAATTGTGGTGTGTTTATTCTAATTATTTTCTGCACTTTATTTTATGCGATTATATGTTGTTGAAAAATCTGTTTTATCTTATTGTTGTGAAATTTTATTTTTTCGTATTTGTTGTATTAATTATCGTGTGTGGGTTTTAAAAGAAGTTTTTTTTTTAATTATAGAATTTTTAAAATAACAAACTCACCCCCCCTCCCCCCCCCCTCTTAGTTAGCTTCATGCTAGTTCATTAGGATTTCACAACTCTCACAAACTTTCAAGCTTGACCGTTTGGACTTGCCTTATGTTAGAAGTAATTAAGTTCAATTTATTTTTGCGGCTCCTTTGTTAGTGTATTACTTTTGTGTTTGTGTCTATTTTTTTTATTCTGATTTTTCCTGATCTCCTTAATATGGGTGGGGTTCTTTGGCACTTTTCTTCATGTGGGGGTTATTCACTCTCTAAATGCTTCGGTTGGACAATTCTGGGAAGATTGTCCTTCACCCTTTTATTGGCTGCCTTATTTTTTTTTTTGTTATCTTGTCTACCTTTTTGATGGGTTGGTTATTGTATTCTCTGCTTGGGAGGGGCTTCATATTTTAATGCTTAGCATTTTATTTATCTACTGCTTTATCTTTTTGGATGATTTTCCTTTTCTCTATTCAGTTGGGTTGTTTGTTCCTCATTGTTTGGAAGGAGTTTGGTTCTTATGATGGAAAACTTTTCTAGCTTTTTCACTTTTCTAGAATGTGCATTTTTCCAGTAAACTTCAGCACCTAGCAGCTTCATATTATGCTTGTATTGTTTAGGAATAGCTTTTATTGCAGTATTGCTATGTCTCTTGCTATAGCTCAGGTTATGAATGACAAATCTAATTGGTTATGCGCTAATGTGAATTCCTTACATTTGCATATTTGTAACAGTAATTATTTGACCATTCTCTTATGTGAGTGCAAGTTATTTAATGAGGTTTTTTAGAATGCCAAAAAATAAGGGGAAGTTCATTATTTCAGTTTGGAAGTATTCCACCGTTATTTACTTAAATTCGTATTGGTCACAACTTATATCCTACTACAACATTACTTCTTTTTTCTACGTGTTATTGTGCTTGTTACAATTTTGCAGTCATTCTCTCTTGCAGGTTAAGTGGACTAAGGTATTTTTGGACAAGGTTATTACTTTTGGCAGGAAGGCTGTATTGAATTCCTTTTTTCCGATGTTCCTTTTTGGGTGTTGCCTATTCGCAACCCTAGATTGTTATTAGGTGATTTTGTAATTCTCTGTATAGGGGACCATCAATTCTTAGATTTTATATTTTGAATTTTGTTGTAGCTCTTTCGAGCATTCGCAAGTTGAAGGTCACCTTTAAGGACCTAGTAACCTTCTTTTATATTAACGTGCAGGCCCCTTCGTGGATCCCCCCCTCCAAAAAAAAAAAAAGTCGATTGACACTGATTATCACCGTTAACAACTGTTGTAGCTTGATGGCCAATTCTTGATTACCTTCACTTGCTTATCAAGGCTCAACTATTATTGCATGACCACCATTACTTTAAAGTCATGGCCCAAATTTTGTCACCTTGACTAACATCACCTCATGGTCTCTCAACCATCACTATCTCATCGTCATAATCCTTTACTATTTCTCCAACAATCCCTATTATAGTCAAACAACTTTGAGTTACCTTTCCCAACTTTATAATCTCATCTCTAAGAGGATATGTATCATTTTAATTCTTATTTGTATCACTTATCATTTTAATCTAGTCATGTCCTATGATTTTTTTTTCTATTTAATAATTTTCACATAAATATTTTAATATCAATCATAATTAATTTTATGTGTCAAATATGTTGCAACCCATGACCCCGAGTTTGAGATTTTGATGATGCCAAATAATGAGTGACTTGGAACTGCTTTATTATTATTATTATTATTATTATTATTATTATTATTATTATTATTATTATTATTATTATTATTATTATAGGCTTACCTTTTAGTCTTCATATTTTTATTAATTATATATTAACTGTTTTTGAAAAATTATATATAATAATTTGATATTGTTTCCCAAAAAAAAAATTTGATATTGAAAATTTAGGCGTCTGATTCTTCCCGGCCTTTTAAATACGAAACTTTGAATAAATCCAAATTTGGTCAAAATGCATTATGAAAAATCTGATTAAACAACTATAGTTTTAATTTTTAATTTGTTTTATATTGAAACTAGAAGGTAATGGCACTTAAGTTTCCTTATAAAATCCCATTTAGCTCGCCTTCCTAGATCAAACAAAGCGAAGTCTCACGGGAACAGAATGGGAGACCACGGCATCGAATGTTCAGCAAAACCTAATTCCACGAATCTCTTCCTGCAAATCATTGAAAACCCTGATGGCAGCATCACCCGCCCCTTCGTGCCCCAAATCCCTCCCTCCGACCTTATCGACGGTGCCGACGTCCGATCCCGAGACATCCCCCTCAACCCCTCTTTAAAAACTTCCCTCCGTCTATACCTCCCTTCGTCCTCTCTACAAAAACTTCCTATCATCCTCTTCTTCCATGGAGGCGGCTTCATACTGTTCAATTCTTCCTCTGCCCCTTACCACTTTTTCTGCGAGCAAATGGCCCAATCCCTCTCTGCCCTCGTTCTCTCCCTCGACTACCGCCTCGCCCCCGACCACCGCCTACCTGCCGCCTACGACGATGCCCTCGACGCCATCCTGTGGCTACGAGCCCAAGCCGCTGCCGATTCCTCTGCACGGGATTCGTGGCTCGCATCCCACGCCGACTTTGAACGGTTTTTTATAGCCGGAAGTAGCTCCGGCGCAAACATGGCGTTCCACGCCGCAATACGGATCGCTGATCTCGATATCCAGCCGCTGAAGATCGCTGGGGTTCTGCTCAACCAGCCCTACCTGGGTGGGCAGGAGCGGACCAAATCAGAGGCTGATTCGGAGAACGACGTGATCCTCCCTTTGCGGGCAAGTGATATGATGTGGCGGCTTGCTTTACCTCTGGGTGCCGATCGCGATCATGAGTACTCTAATCCTGCGGCGGCGATGTGTGTTTCGAAAATTTCGAAGATTCGTGCTAGGTGTTTGATTAAAGGCCGCAGAGGGGATCCGTTGATTGATCGGCAGCGGCAGTTTGTGAAGGTGATGGAGGCGGCTGGAGTACGAGTGGTGGTGCAGCTCGAAGATGAAGGCATTCACGCTATCGAATTATTTGATCCGGCGGCTGCGGAAGCGTTTTTTGTAGCTGTTAAGGAATTTATTAATGCATAGTTTTTGAGTTATTTTTAAGAAAATTATCAGTGTTACTTTGCTCAATATGAATCCGTTAATATTGTAGGGAAGAATAAAATAATATAATTCCGAGGTATTGATGATTACAAACGTGAATTTTAGTCGTTGGTCAAAGTGTTGTATTTAAAAGTCATTTTTTTTTAACTTGAAACTGCATAATGCATTAAAATAAAGGGGTTTTTACGTATATAATATTTAAAACTATGTTATTTATTCATATAACATCTAAACTTATTTATGTACAAACATACCATTAAAAACTTTTTGCCTTTCTAAAAAATCATTTTGTCTCCGCTATGTAAACCCCGCTCAGCCATTTATTCGCAAGCTACTCCACAGGCTGAACCCAATTTCCTTTTCTCTCTTGCTGGTCGCTAGCCTTAGTCAACACCACCAACTTGCCCTAGCTGCCGGCTCTCCTTCCTTTGCCTAGTGAACTCTTCACATTCTTCTCTTTTCCACCTCCCTATTCTTTTCCATATAATCTCTTTTCAAATCTCCTCATCACACTCAAGTAATCATTCCATTTTGGTTCAAGTTTTATGTAGGGATAAGAGTATCCGTTTGTTTTGTCTTATATATTCTAATCAAATCTAATCTCATATTATGTGTTTGATTTGAATGTTGTATCACAATTGTTCAATAAAATGCCACTAGGAGATATTTATGTTTGCTTTGTCCATATGAAAACCAGTGCAATCCACATTCGGACTAAATTGTCTTTATTGTACACATGATATTGTAAAGATATGGAAAAAATAAAAAATGAATTTTTTTAAAGATTTGTCAGACCTATATAGTTCAGTCTTAAGGTGGAAAGATATAATATTCAGGCAATGCTATAGTACCTAAATTGCTTTCCAGACATAAACAAAGGAGTGAGCTTGTGTATCAAAAAAATCAGTATTGAATTCAACGTCTCTCTGAGCCTAGTGCAATTCCTGGGTGATTCTAGGGTCTCTCCCTCGTGCGGTGGTTCTCGGCCCTCCTGCTTGGATTTCCCCCCGTTTTCAATTGATTTCATTCGCCTTTCTCGTTCTCATCTTTTTTTGTTTGCTGATTTTGAGTTCCTCTTTAGTTTATCGTGCAGGGTGATGACGACTTCATCGTTATCTCACCGATTTCCTCTTCTCTTTTGGAGGGGAAATCACGATCTTTCAAAGATGTAGTTGCTGGATCTTCGTCCTCTTCACCGAAACATAACTTTGTTCATTTGTTTTTTAAGGGTTGTCTGGCTATTCTTTTCGAGGAATCGGTTGTTAAACAGTTAGCCGCTCCTTATGCATTAACTTTGATTGGTAAATTTATATTGAGGAGACCGAATCTTGATGTTATACGGAACGTTTTTCTTAACTAAAGCTATATGGATCTTTTCATATTGGTTTGCTTGATCAATGACATGTTTCTATCCAACTTTCAAATGATATTGATTATAGCCGCATATTTGCTCGTAGATCGTATTATATTCAAGCATGTCAAATGCGTTTACTGAAATGGACTCCGTATTTTGATGTTAGGGAGGAATTCCCTATAGCTCCATTTTGGATTTCTTTTCCTAACTTGTGCCTGCATTTTTTTAATCATCAAATTTTTTTTGGTATGGCCTCCATCTTCGGCCACCCTTTATAAATTGAACAAGCTACATCTTCAGTGTCAAGGTTGTCAGTTGCTAGGGTTTTGATTGAGTTGGATGTCTCTAAGAAATATCCTAGTGAAATTTGGATTGGATCCGAAGTCAAGGGTTACTTCCAAAAAGTTGATTTTGAGAATTTACCGATATTTTGCTCGTTTTGTAAAATGCATGGGCATGGTATGAATGACTATTTTCGGAAACACCCGCACCTTTGTACAGCTAAGAACTCTGTGAAACAAATGAATGAGATGGTGGATCAGGATGTGTCTAACCAAGCCCCTTTGGTGGGTAATACTCCTAATCCTTCTCAACAAATTGAGTACCAATTCGTGGTGATTGAGAAGATTCTTTGTCCACATGTTCCCAATGATGCTACCAATACTGATATTTTAACTCATGATCAGGGAGTTTCTAATAGCATTTTAAATAATTCTAATATTGATTGTGATCATAATATGATACATAATTCTCTTATAATTGAAGCTAAAAAGGATGCAAATGATGGACCTTCTTTATCTTGCATTATTAATCAAAACGTGTTTGATTCCAATGCTATTATGCCTTTTCATGAGCTTTCTAATCCATTATATGAACAGGAAAGTTTTTTGGGAGCAAATGGTGATACACAATTGACCCCTAAAGAAGGTGAAAAGAAGGACATGCCATTAGAGGAAGGTGAAAAGAATGACATGGATTTAGAGGATGGAGAATTTGTTTCCATGGACCACTGTCCATTACTTTCTACCTTCTTTAAAGAATCGGTAATGAAGGCTACTGAGAATTGCGATAATGATGGTAGGTTTATGGAGGATGATTGTCCTAATTTACACAGAGGTCATTCTAATGATAGTAAGAGTCCTTCAACTTCTAATTATAATAGTAATGCTATCATTGATGCTGAGGAAATGTATAATGCTGCTAAATGTTTTGCTAAGGATGATAAAGATATTAGTTTTAATAAATTTCATAGTAAAAGAGGGCGGAAGCCAAAGAATATCTCTTTGCAACCTCCTAAAAACTTTTTTAGAAATACTCATTCAAATACCTCTCATTAATATTTCTTTATGTTTAGTATCATTATTTGGAATGTTAGGGGCATTGGTTGTCCGTCTTCTAGGATTCGTGTTAAAAATCTATGTCGTGTTTATCATATTTCTATTCTTGTCTTACTTAAACCCCTTGTGAGAACTCTTAAATTTCAAAAATTTTGGTGCAGGATAGTATGTACGAACTGAACATGGTGCAGGTTAATCTGTACGAATCGTTTCGTACGAACTGAATATGGTGCAGGTTCGTTTGTATGAACCGTTAGTACAAATTGAGTTCATCTGTATGAACTGATTTTTTTTTTTTTGACAGAGCCCATCATCTAGGGACGATAATCAATTATCTTCCATACGATATATGGACAGAGAAGATTGTCCCAAAATGAATAAAAAATATCGTCTGTACGATCTAAAATATCTCAGCCTATTAAATATCACATTCGTTCGTTTTTGAAGAGACAAAAAACTGGAGAGAGAAAAAGAAGGAAGAATAAGAAGAAGTGGATTTTTTGGCGACTTTAGTCCGTTTTCGTCCGTTGTCGCAGTTGAGAAAGTTGATCGACTCAACATAAGGCACATTATACCTATCTCAATTTTTAGAATTATGAGTTTTGACAAATATTCCGATTAAAGTTTTTATTTCCATTAGCAAAAAATAGGTATAACTTTGCACCGGTAAAAATTTTACTGTCTAACTTTTGGTATGTCATATAGATTATGATTTTGTATGTTTTAAGTATTTTTTGGAAAATTTTTATCAGGTATTTTGAAATATGCAGGGTTTATATCTAATAGAAAATTATCTGGATATTGAAAAATAGCGCTTCTATACAAGAAAAAACTTTGAAATATTGTTTTATACGATCTCTAGTAATTTGGTAATATTTTGAAATTATACATTTTTTATTCATTGGCTTTCTGTTGTCTATTGCTATACAAAAAATGTGAAATTTTGATGTGTTCAATTACTCTGTATTTGTTATGATGTGATGTTTTATGTGCAAATGTGATTTGAATGATATCTGTTGGGAGTTATAAGGGGCTTGAATCCCTTGAGATTCTGTCTGTGTTAGGGAATAAAGGGAGGCATAATAGGCTAGAATTCTCTGAGTTTTGTTTGGGTCTAGGAAATGAACTCTGATCTAAATAATTATGTATATTTGATATGTTCTAGTGCTATAAGCATAAAGGGAGGCATAAGGGGCCAAAATCCTTTGAGATTCTATCTGTTCCAGGGAAGGGAGGCATAAGGGGCCAGAATCCTTTGAGATTCTATCTGGGTCCGGGAAATCTGATCTGAAATCTGATCTGAAATTTGATTTGATATGTGATCTAGATTGTGATTTGAACAATTTTGCGATATGAATTTTACTCAGTTCTTCTGTATCTATTATTTGATTTTCTCTTAATATATAATTTCTGTATGATTATTTGAATTCTATCTGATTATCTGATTTATGTACGATTATCCGAATTCTATGTGTTTATCGAGATTTCTTATGAATATTTGATTTCTATATGGATATCTAAATCAGTTAATGAATTGATATGTATTTCTGTTTCATGAGTTTCAGTTCAATAATTTATTTGATCTACAAATAACTATTTTTAAAGCTTCTATAAAGTATTTTGAAATACGAGTGTCTGGGAATTTAGATCGGATAGTGTGATCTTGCTGAGCTGTGAGCTCACTGTGGTTTTATTTATGGTTTTCAGGATCTTGAAAAGGGAGGGAATTTTTGTAACAGCCATTCAGGTTCTGATATGAAGTTATAGGTATTTTGTCATTTTGATTTTTGTATAATCTTAGCTTGTTAGCTTTTTAGTTTTGTACTTTTTGTCCGTAGTCATGTACTGTAATGTATATGATTATTTTGATGAATGAAAGAAATATTTTGTGGTTGAGTTTTTTATATTTGAAAGTTTTTAATAGTTTTGTGGTTTTGTATTATGAATGAATATGGGAAGAAAGTCTAAAAAAGCAATTCCAAAACTAGATCCTACTGTTTGCCGTCGCAACTCAACAAGATAGGATCCGTCCTGGTCAAGTTAGGTTGTGACAATTTAAAGTGGTATAAGAGCGATAGTTTTGGAATTGAATCATAAGACAAAACTTTAGGAATTGATCTGTATGTTTCGTGGGGTAGTTTCAGTCTGTTTGAGTGTTTATTTTTTTATTTTATGTCTATAATTGTGTATTCTGTGTGATTATAGATCCGCCAGACCTAGAAACGGCTAATTGACAGAGTGCTAGCCAGTCAGCTCCTGTAAATAGTTTTGCTCCAGTAGTTGGTTCAGATACAGTTTCATAGTTTGCTATGTTGGTAGCTTAGATGATGAGCAAGACGCAAAATAGAGTTTCTATTGTTAAATCTGAGGATGTAGATAGACAACTACAAATGTTTCTAAGATTGAAGCCTCTAAGATTTTAGGACGCTGTTGACCCCAGAGCAACAAATGATTGGTTGAGGAAGCTAGAAAAGTCATTTGATGG